GGTGATGACGTGTGCTCTTTAAGCTGCACCACTGCCTTCTTAGGCTGCCCGCTCCTTATTGTGACCATATCTGTGCTTAGACAGGAAAGACAAAAGCAAAGACAGAAATTTTGACAAGAGAAATGGTTCCTAATTTCCTCCATGCAATAGACCCTATTTATGTTAGTCTTGTCAATCAGATTATGCAACAACAAAAGAACAATTCATTTCTTGCCAGAGAAGAATGCTAGTGAAGGATTCTGAAAATCCAGAAGGCTTTTGATGTGACAGCTTTAGCGATTCCACTTACCAACAGTGTAATAAACTGAAGCAAGGCTGTGATAGTGCCAATTATAAGAAGCAACTCCCTAAACAGAATGATATGTCCAGGATTCAGAACATGTTGATTATTTGTGTTTTAAAAGAAGCCATTGTCTGACCAAAGGCTAGCAATGTGAATAAATGATTACAAAAAATAAAAAGAGAGTAATTTGTTTCTTGCTAATAAATACCTTGAATGAATGGTTTATGAAAATTATTCAGGGTCACTGACATTTTGATTAATGAAAACTGATAGGTGGGAGACATTTTTTATGACTTTGAGAACTCACTCCCATAGAACCCAGATACACATTCCCTGATGCTTTGTAGGTGACTATCTATGGAGTACCATTCAAAAAGTGCAAAGCAGATTAAACAATTCTCTCCAGATTCTTATACCCTCTCTCTTTTCTCTCATTCCATCCCATTAACCCATAAGCATGTACGCACATAAATACATACACACAAGCTTTAACTAAAGGGTACCACTAACACAGATTGGTTCTTGGAGGGGCTCCAGCCTAGAAGGCGTTGAGGCCTGGGTGCAAGCCCAAATTGTTATGATGCCTAAAACTTATGTGCTATCTGAGGGAGAAGCATTTCAAGGGGACAATTCCAAAGTGCCTGTGTTCCAACTTTAAAGGGTTTTATTTGCCGAAATTAACTAAGTTTATATTTTCAGCCAAAAGGCTGATGACGGCACAAAGGAAAAATTAAGTTAAATAATAGAAAAATAAAGATGGCTACATATCTTGCATGCCTTCATCTGAGGGTGGCGAAAATGAAAAGGTCTTCAGATATCTGATCTCATTTGAGCATAGGATTCATGCTGTTCAATAGAACTTAGTGTCCTGATGAAAATGTTCTATGTCTATCCAGTATGTTAGCCTATAGCCTCATGTAGCCATCAAGTTCTTGAAATGTGGCTAGTTTAATAGAGGAACTACATTTTAAATTTTATTTAATTTTTAATTAATTTAAATATAAATGTAAATAGCCACGCATAGCTAGTAGCTATCATATTAGACAATATAAATCATTGTCTTATCTCACTATATTTTACAAATGAAGAGACAAACTCTGAAATGCTCTGAAATACATTAAAATTGTGTGGCTAGTAATGAAAGATAACATCTTGATTCCTAGACTGGAGTCCTAGGAAGTATGTTGCTTACCTTCCAACACTTTAGGAAAGATTATTTGGGCTAAGATTAAGGTTCTAGGAGAGTGAGCCTGAGCAGGGATATTTAGGAGTGGACAGGGGCATTGTCAATATAAGAGAGATTTGGAAAGGGAAGGTAGAGAGGGCCAGTGCCAACTCCACTGTTTTCACATCACTGTCTAGTACCATTGTTTCCCATGTGGCCAAATCATCATCTTCTGAGACACATTAGAAAAACATAAAATGTCAAACGCCACTCTCAGAGAACTATAGTTTTAAAAGTCTCCTCTGGTCATTGTGATACACGGTCACGTAAGGAAACTACTTACTGAGATCACCCCTTGGAGAGTAAAAACCTGCAGGAACTAGTGGAGGAGTCAAGTGACCAAATGAGTGCTAATAAATATTTATTGTGTGGCTTCTATATGCTACTAAGAGGCTGTGGAGTCGCATCTGGTTTCAAATCCTAGCTCTGTTACTAGATGTGCCACTTGGGCAAGCTATTTAACCTCTTTATGCCTCAGTTTCCACACCTGTAAAATCAAGATAGAAATTATATTTTTCTCATAGAGTTTTTGTCAGATTAAAGGACATAAAGCACTTACAAAAGTGCCTGGCAGGTGGTACCTATTATATAGATTTTGGATATTACAGTTTTGTGCATGAGACCAACACTTGAACGGAAACTGTCAACATAATACAAAAGATGTTCACAGGCACCACAGAAGAGGGGCCATTAGCTCAGCAGGAGCTAACAGAAGGACAAGAGGGACTGGAGAGACAGGAAAATCAATTCCTGCATTGTCTGCTTGAACTAGACTAAGGCACTTTCAAAAGAAATCGTTTCTCTGGATTGCAGGGTATCCGTGTCTAAATTTTTTCTACTTCCAGCCTTATTATGAAGGATGCATGAAGGCCAACACAATGGGCTTTGTTCCTGCAGTGGACATTGGGTGGCCCTGCCCTGCCCAGCTGTAGCTCAGAGGCTGGGTTTGAGGCCACCCAAGGACGGACTGCCCATAAATGGGAAAACAATTATCTCCCTTTCTTTTCATTGCACAGAAAACTTCAAAATCATCTCTGTGGGTTCACATCTGTATGGCTTCTACCCAAAGCGTTTATGTGTGAATATAGTGTGCACAAGAGAAATTAAGGCCACTGGCATTTCATGTTCCTGTCATGGTTTTTACGATAATATCTCATAGGGAGAAATGTCATGCTCTGCAATGACCCATTGCAATTGTTATTGAAATTGAAGGACAACATAGTCTTCAGTTACACAACACGTGGCTAATTCAGGGAGGATTAGCATTCATTTTGTTTACTTTTGAAAAGGCAGGACTACTGCATTTCACTGATGTCCAGATATCTGGGAAAAAACATTGCCTGGTGCTCAGCAGATGCTGAATAAATTTTGTTAAAAGAATGAGTGGCTGTGTCGCTGTGTCTTCCTATTACAGAGGACAAACACTCTAGAAAAACCCACAGCCATTTTTGAATAGATCCATTGGATCAGTTATTAATATTCCTTTCAATATTGCTACTGGTTTTTGTCTTCTTTATCAGATGTAAGCCTCATGTGTTGAAATACATCTGACTTATTTACTGGTTTATTCCTACAGTTTACCAAAGTATTAGGTATATAATAGATGCTCTGTAAATACACATTGAAGGAATGAAGAAGTAAAGAAAGAGGTTGCTACACTTCCCAGGTTGATGCAAGCTTTTCTTCTCTCCTATATGTTAGAGAATGATCTTCTTTTGAAATTTGTCAGGGCAATTATTAGGAGTTATTATGTCCAGGTGAAAACCGTCTGATAGTGGTCTATTTTAAATCTTAAAGGTAGTGAAAATTTTCAGTGCAAAGAGCTACAGAATGTACCAGCAACTCTGCATGTTACTGCTTCATATAATGGAAACATAAGGAGCCTACGTCGTAGTCCCTTCCTTAGTGAACATCCGTATTGTATCTCATGCTGAAACAGGCACCATGAAAGAGGGATGGCTGGTGCCCTAAGCAGGACCTGGTTCCAAATCGAATTGTGCCAGATTTGAATTCTAACTCTGTTTATTGATCTTGCTTTACTCTAAAATATTATTTCAGGTTTTCCTTACTATCTCAGCCAAATTTCTTGCCCAGAAACTATTTTTAGGTCCCCTGAGCACCATTCATTATTCCAACTGAAGGACAGTGATTTACAGGCATACCGCATTTTATTGCGGTTCATAGATACTGCCTTTTGGTAAAAAAAAAAAAAAAGAAAAGAAAAAAAAGAAAAAAAAGAAAAAAGTGGAAGGTTTGCAGAACCCTGCATCGAGCAAGTCTATCCAAAGTCTACCCGTGCCATTTTTCCAACTCTATGTGCTCACTTCATGTCTCTGTGTCACATTTTGGTAATTCTCACATATTTCAAACATTTCCTTATGATTATATCTATTATTGTAATCTGTGATCAGTGAACTTAGTTGTTACTTTTTTAATTGTTTTGGGATACCAAAAAAATGCTCACGTAAGATGGGGAACTTAATCCTTAAATGTTTGTGTTCTGGCCATTCCACCTATTGGCCCTTCCCTCATCTTGCTCCCTCTCCTGAAGCCTCCCTGTTCCCTGAGAAATAACAACATTGAAATCAGGCCAATTAATAACCCTGCAATGGTTGTTACATTAAGTTTAGCCTATAGCTGCCTCCATGTAATTTTGGCCTAAAAGTTTCTCATACATAGTAAACTGTATTCTAACTGGATGTCTAAACAGACTGTAACCTACTCTTATGCCAATCATGGAGTTTCAGCCAATCACAGTCAGCCAGCTGTTCAAATAAGGCAAACACCCCAAACTGTAACCAGTCCAGCTGTTTCTGTACCTCACTTCTGTTTTTGCACCCACTTTCCTTGTTCTGCCCATAAATCTTCTCTAACCACATGGAAGTGCCATAATGTCTCTGAAAGCATTCTGGCCTGGGAGAAAGCCCAATCTTGAATTACCCTTTTTTGAAGTAAACACTGTTAAATTAGAAAAAAATAACCTTAAAGCGTCATCTAAGTGTTCAAGTGAAAGGAAATTTCATACATCTCTCCCTTTAATCAAAAGCTAGAAATGATTATGCTGAGCAAGAAGAAGACATGTTGAAAGCTGAGATAGGATGAAAGCTAGACATCTTGCATCAAACAGTTGGTTAAGTTGTGAAGGCAAAGAAAAGGTTCTTGAAGGAAATTGGAAGTTCTACTCTAATGAACACACAAATGATAAGAAAGCAAAACAGCCTTATTACTGATGTGGAGAAAGTGTTTGTGGTCTCAATAGAGGATAAAACCAGTTACAACATTATCTTAAGCCAAAGCCTAATCCAGAGCAATGTCCTAACTCTTCAGTTCTATGAAGGCTGAGAGAAGTGAGGAAGCTGCAGAAGAAAAGTTTGAAACTAGCAGAGGTTGGTTCATGAGATTTAAGAAGTCAAATCCATAACATAAAAGTGCAAGATGATACTCTGGTGGTTTCTCTTCAGATCATATGAATCTTTCTCCTTTAACTAAAAGTGCAAGGTGAAGCAGCAATTGCTGATGTAGAGGTTGCAGCAAATTATCCGGAAGAGCTGGCTAAGATAATTCATGAAGGTGGCTATACGATACAACAGATTTTCAAAGCAGGTAAAATATCCTTATATTATATTGGAAGAAGATGCCATCTAGAACTCTTATAGCTAAAGAAGAGAAGTCAGTGCCTGGCTTCAAAGCTTTTGAAGAACAGGCTGACTCTCTTATTAGAGACTAATGTAGCTGGTGACTTTAAGTTGCAGCCAATGTTAATTTCCCATTCCGAAATCCCTAGAGTACTTAAGAATTATGCTGAATCTAATCTGTCTGTGCTCTATAAATGGAACAAAGCATGGGTGATGGTACATCTGTTTATAGTATGGTTTACTGAATATTTTTAAGCCCATTAGTGGTACCTACTGCTCAGAAAAACAGATTCCTTTCAAAAATACTACTGCTCATTGATAATGCACCTGGTCACCCAAGAACTCTGATGGAGACGTGCAAGGAGATTAACATTGTTTTCATGTCTGCTGACACAAAATCTATTCTGCAGCCCATGAATCAAGGAGTAATCTGGACTGCATGTCTTATTATTCAAAATTACCTTTTATACGACTATAGCTGCCATCGATAGCGATTTTTCTGAAGGATCTGGGCAAAGTAAATTGAAAGCCTTCTGGAAGGAATTTACCATCTAGATGACTTTGTGAACATTTGTGATTTATGGGAAAAGGTAAAAATATTCACATTAATTGGGGTTGGAAAACATTGATTCTAGTTCTCATGAATGACTTTGAGGAGTTTAAGACTTCAGTAGAGGAGTAACTGCAGAGATGGTAGAAATAGCAAAATAATTAGAATTAGATGTGGAGCCTGAAGACGTGACTGAATTGCTTCAATCTCATAATTAAATTATAATGGATGAGGAGTTGCTTCTTCTTATGGATGAGTAAAGAAAGTTTGTTTTTTTTTTTTTTTTTTGAGATGGATTCTACTTCTGGTGAAGATGGGGTGAACATCGCTGAAATGGCAACAGAGGATTCAGAAGATTACATCAACTTAGTTGGCAAAGCAGTGGCAGAGTTTGAGAGGACTGACTCCAGTTTTGAAAGCAGGTAAAATGATGTCAAAGAGCATCACATGGTGCAGAGAAATATTTTATAAAAGAAAGAATCAATTGATGGGATAAACTTCATGATTTCTTATTTTAAGAATTTGCCAAAAGCACCTTAACCTTCAGCAACTGCTGCCCCATCAGCCAGGAGCCATCAACATCGAGGAGATCCCCCCACCAGGAGAAAGATTAGGTCTCGATGAAGGCTTGAATGGTTGTTAGTATTTTTCAGCTCTAACGTATTTTTAAATTAAGGCTTTTACACTGCTGTTTTAAACATTATGCCATTACATACTTAATAGACTATGGCATAGGGTGAACACAACTTTTATATGCAGTGAGAAATGAAAAAATTCATATCATGTATTTTATTGTGATATTCAATTTATTGCAGTGGTCTGGAACTAAGCCCCCAATATCTCTGAGGTATGCCTGTAATTGAGCATTCCCATAAACTGTGATACAGGCTATGAAGGAAAACTGCAACGTGTCAGGAGACTGTGTAGCAGAGATATCTGGTCTAATGGGGTGAGATGCTCTGAAAAAAATTGCTTTAATTGCTGAGAGCTGGAGAAAGAATAGTTAATCAGGAAAGGGAGAGGATTCTGGAGGAGGAGCCTCTGGCAGCAGGAATAGAATGGCAAAGTCCAATTTGTGGGAAGGATAGGGGCCCATTCAAAGAATGGAAAGGAAAATAAAATAGGAACACAGTACAGGAAGGAGTGAGGGGTATGAGAAGAAACCAGAGAAACAAACGGCTTAATATCAAGGTTTTCTCCCTTGGCACTGTTGATTAACATTTGGGACTGGATGATTCTCTGTTGTGGGGAGCAGCCCTTTGTGCAATTTTAGCAGTACCTCTGGCCTCTACACACTAGATGCCAGTCATATTCCTTCCCTTCAGTTATAACAAATGAAAATATTTCCAGATATTGCCAAATGTTCCCTGGTGGGGGTGAGGGTGAAATCATCGCCCCCAGGTAAGAGTCACTGTTTTTGATCATGTAGATCTCTTTAGACTATGTACAGATCGGGGGCCTTTATAGGCAGAGCACTAGGAAAGTCCTGAAGGATTTCAGTAGAATCCTGTCAGAGAATGTGACAGATCTATGGCACACAGGATAAGGACATCTTCTTTCTCCTGTAAAATAATCATTTTACCTCCTCACATAGCCCCCTCCGGCTATACCAAGATAGAAACTTTTACGTGTGATTCTCATCACCTACCAATAAAATGCATATGCTTAGCTATCAATTACGTTCAAAGAGTACCCAAACATTGCTTTTGAGCATATTGTTGTGTCATGATTGCAAAGTTATAATTATGAATCCTGCAGGGTTCATTACCAATTCATATGTTCACTAGCTTAGAACTTTCAGAAATGTGTTTTGGGGAATCAAATGTATATTATGGCTCTATTTCTGAAAGAAAGATGTTTGGAGAGCTTTCTGACTATTTGATTTTTCTTGCATTAATCAAATGACAACCCTTATTTAGCTAGAGATGCTCTTCAACTTCTTTTACCATTTTATTCCTAACACTCTTAAAGTGGTTGTATTTTTTTTTTTTTTTTTTTTTTTTACATTTGGACTTAGCATTTGGTAAAAGCAAATGCAGAACACATACTCTGGCCAAAGGAAAATTGGCCTTGATTCCAGTCTCAGATATTTAAATAAATCATCGTTGGTGGATGTATTTTTCTTCTGTAGACAGAAGTAGACATTGAGGTAAGAATCTTGGCTCAGATTATAAGGAAATACTAAAGAGTTATGTTTAAATATGCAACTTGGCTAGGCACAGTGGCTCATGCCTGTAATCCCAGAATTTTGGGAGACCAAGGTGGAAGGATCTCTTGAGCCCAGGAGTTTGAGACCAGCTGGGCAACATGGCGAGACCCCGTTTCCACAAAAAATTAAAAAATAAAATAATAGTCCAGATATGGTGGTGCATGCCTATAGTCCCAGCTACTAGGGTGGCTGGGGCAGGAGAATCACTTAAGCCTGGGAGGTTGAAGTTGCAGTAAGCCACGATCTTGACACTGCACTCCAGCCTGGGTGATAGAGCAAGACTCTGTCTCAAAAAGTAATTAAACAAATATGCAACCTTTTGGAGAGCTAATGGTTGATTCTTCTCAAAAGGCAGAACCTCTGAGGATTGGGTGGAGGGAGGGAGAGGAGAAGGAAAGAGGGGCTAAAGCTGCTGAGGGCAATAGGACGGAGGAAGGATAATAGAATCCAATGCTGTCATAGAGGAGAGGAACAGAAAAACACTGCATGATGCTTGTTGGTTACCTATTTCATCCCTTCAGGAGAGTGGTGTTGAGTGATACAGAATTCTAGCAGGAGAAATTGACCTAAAATGCTTTAAAGAAAGAATCAGGGAGTAGACTTAGTGCCTGGCGTAGGAGTTGGTGGATGCAGAGTCTCTAACGCACTGCCTGGAAGAAGGTTCAGCTGTACATAAATGTCCCAGTGACCAACTATTCCAGTTTGTTTGGGTGTTCAGGATTTTCTGAGACACTTGACTTTCAGTGCTTCAAACCCAGACAGTCACAGGCAACCAGGACAGCTGGTGAGCCTACACACAATGACACTTTTCACAGAGGATCATGTCAAAAATGCAGGGGGTAGACACAACTTCAGTTGTGATACCAGCAGCAGCAGCAGCACCAGCAATGGAACCGATCTGGGGATGAGCCACAGTACGCAGAGCAAGTGCTGCTTGGACTCAAGTAGTTGGCGGTGTGAGCTGTGCTGAAAGTGGCTGCAAAAAGTTTTTGTGAACTCTTCTCTTTCCCCTTAGAGCTCTACCATGTTACAGAAAGTTCTAGGGAGCAGAAATAGGTGGAGGGGTGGAAAACCAAATAAATTATCCATATTTGAGATTGATTGTACATCTTTCTGGTCTCATATTTAAAATTGATACAGATTATTAAAATTATTATGGATCTACAAAAATATAAATTAATAAAAGCAGTTTGAGAGAAAGAACAATGTCTTGTAGACCAGTGGTACTCAGTGTAGTTTGGTGCACAACAGACAGTCCAAAGATTTTCTTGAAGATGGAAACAACATAGGAACTGTTTCATGATGTCTTCCCAGGCTTTTATACATCTGTGTTTTCTTAGACTGCTCTCCAGGACACTAGAGCAGCAAAATCAAATGCAGACAGCAGCCCCATAAGCATAGATTCCCGTGGAAGCCAACTGGCATCACACCCACAGATTGGTGGGTGCACAGTAGGTAGGAGGACAGGTTTGGCTTAATGGCCAAACTGTACCTCCTTTTTATTATCCTTATTCTAATTTCTTTTAAGCCTGGAACATTTAGGCTGGAGCTTGTTTTCCTAGATAGAAGGATCCCTTATAAAAATTAGTACACGCTTGAAGTCACACTGTCCTCAAGATGCTTATGTCTAACAGCAGAAATAGCTGCATACATGAAATAGCAGCAAATATTGTAATATATAATTAAATGCAATGGCTGTTTAGAAGAAGAGATCATTAGGAGTTAGAGAAACTGGAGATTGTGGTACAGCATGGAAAGATGGCACAGATTGAGAGCATTTTCCAGGTGGGAGGAGAGACAAAAGTGAAAAGAAAAAAACAAAGAAACACAGAATAGAGAATGAGAAGGCTGAAGTTACCAAAAAAAGCTGACACTTTATTATTATTATAAATACAATGACATTTATCTACATAAAGCATACGTATTTATTATGCAATTATTGTGCACTCACTCTGCCACAATCAATGCCCTAAGTGACTAAAATTTATTCATTAATCTTCACAGGAGCTCTCTATAGAGGGTAATGTTTTTGACCCATTTTAAAAATGAGGAGAGGTTCTTAGAGGGTTTGAGCAACTTGCCTGGAACCTCTTAATCTGGACTTAAAGCAATGAATCTGACTTCAAGGCCTTTGTCCTCATGAAGTAGACTCTGGGTGACCTTGATATGTGCCCAAATCAAGCCTGCATGTTGGGAAATTGCAGAGAAATATTTGGGGAGGAACATGAAAGACCTTGGCATTTATGCAGAGGCATATAGACGTGGACGTTACAAAAACAATTCATCGACCTTGTGGAAATGTAATTCTTGGTAGGTCCACATTGGTCAGAGCAAGGTCACTTTATCTGACAACCATGATAGAGAGTATCTGTGTACTCTGCCCTTTTGAAAGCTATAGAAATTCATATGTCATGAGAAAAAGGTAATGGCTTTAAAATATGAAACAGTGTAATGTGTCTTTCAAGTGTAACTTTAATACTCACTATACATTTGCAACTCAATTTTCATATCTGCTAATATAGTGTTGAGTGAGCTTTCTACAATTCTTTACATACAAGAAAACAAACCAAAGAGTCAATACTCATAACAATGTTTTGGTGAAATATAGATGTTTACTGGTGGTACTTTAAAACTTTTGAGAAGCATCGCCTGCACGATTTACTATTTTTGTCAGTAAAATTATCAAAACTTGAAAAAAGGCAGAAAATTTTGGTGTGCTTTTTTCATATAATATTGGGTGAAAGGCCACCCAAGGACTGGCTAGAAGAATGTTCTCAGTTCATCTTATTGTTGGTTATTGACAAGAGGTCCCAGACTTAATGAAGTTACCTTGCTGATAGATTTTTGTCCAGTAACAATGAAAATAATTTTCATGTAGTGAAATAAATGGTGCCAAAGACATATGATCTGTTGGACTATAATGGAGCCTTTTTTTCCTTTTTTTTTTCTGAGACAGAGTCTCGCTCTTTTGCCCAGACTGGCGTGCAGTGGCATGATCTCAGTTCACTGCAACCTCCACCTCCTGCTTTCAAGCAATTCTCCAGCCTCAGCCTCTCGAGTAGCTGGGATTACAGGTGCACACCACCACGCCTGGCTAATTTTTGTATTTTTAGTAGAGACAGGGTTTCACCATGTTAGCCAGACTGGTCTCGAACTCCTGACCTTGCAACCCACCTACCTTGGCCTCCCAAAGTGCTGGGATTACAGGAGTGAGCCACCAAGCCCAGCCCCTTTTGATTTTATTTTTAATCAAAATCAGCAATCTTATCCTAACATTTCTTTGTTAAATCTCCTATAAATATCCTAGCATTTTAAATATTTTTGAGCCAGTCATAACACTTACTGGTTCCCTCATAAATTGAAGAGTTAAATAAAGTTTTTTAGAGTCATGATTTTTATCTTCCGATACGTATACTTTAATACTTTGAAAATATATTTTGGTGGCAGTTTTCTCACATCTGTAATTCTAAAAGACAGAAAAAGGACACCCTCTGACTGTTGGTGTGGATTTGACTCTAGAACTCATGAGTGAATTGATTTTCTCTACTTTTATTCATTGATTTTTGGAATAAGTTCATAAAATATTCTTAAAACATCTCATTCTGAAAATGTTGCTCCATCTCTTTACTTAAAATGATCTTTATGACTGGTGGGAAAATCGTGGTGTCTGTTGTGAATGGGAAATAATGAAAATGTCTTATGGTGGTAGCAGTGTACCATTTGCTTGTATAGTAACAATCTATTTTAACATGCAGGTCTCTGATTCCACACTTGTAATTCATCAAATATTCTCACTTGTACTTATAAAAATGAAATTCTAGAAATTTATTTGGCAACATTGCCACACCTATAAGAGCACTATAATCTTTATCTGTACCCTATTTAAAAGATAGAAATAAGACTTTTGGATAACCAAGCCCTTTCTTTTTCAGGAAATAATGTGAATAAGATGACTTCAGTTCTCAGGGAAAAAAAAGGAGCTTTAATGAAAAGATTTTTAAAGGGTTTGACATTTAGCTAACAATGGGGTTCAAATTTAAAATGTGGCCACAAATGTATATTTGGGTTAAAAAAAAAGAGAAGAATTTAATAGACTTTAATGCATGCAAAGATATTCAAAACTGTTGGAAGAATTCCAATGAAGCAAATTAGAATAAATTAAAATATTGTTCAACAATTCAATTAACCTTTCAAAATTGCACAAGTAATGTCATACTGTGCTCATGTTACCTGAATAAAATACTATATACATACAGATGGTGCTCAAATTATACCATTAGTAGCATTTTTCCGAAGTAAATACTAACACTATTGATACTCAGCAGTGATGTTTACTATATGGAAATAGAAAAGTTCAGGATAAACCTGTTCACTAACAATCTGGGGTATTTTACCACAAACACCCCAATTTTATTTATGTATGTATTTATTTATTTTGAAAGGAAAAAGGGAAAACCACACAATTTATGAAAGCTTCCAATTAGGTACATTTTAGCAAAAATGCACATTACAGCTTGTCATTAACTAAGACTGTTTGGGTTCATAGGTTGAGCATATCCATATTGTCAGCATGAATAATAGTATGATTTTCTCTCTAAAAACATTTCTTTCCAAGATCCAAGAAATAGAACTTCCTTTTCATTCTCTGGAGCAGGGGAGTTCATTAAAAGGAATTCCAGCTCCGTACTGTCCTTACTTTCCCATCTGGGATAACTAATTCTGTCTCACTTATGTTACAACCAGCATCCTATAGTATTTCTCAAACTAAGGACTGGAGGAATTAGAAAAATTTCCAATTATATCCATTGTAATTTTTAGGAAATTGCTAAACATACTTAATTCTTAATGTAAAAATATGCCTTTTTTCAAAGGAAGAGAAATAGCATTAATGAGCACTTACTCTGGACCAGACATTGAGATATTTTATGCTATTTGGAGCTTTTGTAATTCTAATGTTGGGGGCTAGTGGGGTGAGGCATGGAGAAGTTATATAACCTGTCCAAGGACACACTGAATAAATGGCAAAGCTGGTGAGCATCCTCAGGACTTCTAACTGCAA